TATATATATATATATATATATATATATATATATATATATATATATATATATATATATATATATATACATATATATATATATATATATATATATATATATATATATATATATATATATATATATATATATATATATATATATATATATATATATATACAAGCTTAAAATGTATTAATATATATGTTTAAATTACTTTATTGTATCTACAATAAGCGCTATTTATACATACCGTCGGGAAAATTACAAAACTGCGTAACTAGCATTGGAACACCACCTATCTGCACTAAATATTTTTCTAGGGGTTAGATATACCCGTTAATAAAATAATACTCTTTAAAACTATAAAAAAGAATCCTTACTAAAGATATTACTTGAATGTTGAATTATATTAAAAGAATTTTTTAATGATAAGTTTATATACTAGTTATATTTTATAAACTTTTAATTATTTAGTTAAAAACTTTATATATATTTTTTATTTCAACAGATTTTGGGTTCATTTTAATATTTATGTATCGACAAAAGATATTTGGTGTTAAAATTATTAATATGCAATTAAGTAGCCAATGCTAGTTACGCGGTTTTGCACTACATCCGACTTTGAATATACTTGATTAATTGCACTTTATTTGATACTTTATATAATACCGAAGCTTTCTTTAGTCACTTTTTTCAATCAATCTTAACTTTTTTGACATACATTACCCAATTTACATTTGTTACAAAACCAATTTCCGTTTATTTTGGTAGTAACATGGACGCATTTAAAATGATACCACTCCAAGCAACTGTCGCACTCTATACTTTCTACAGATGCATTTAAACTGCATGTTGGGCAATTCCAAATAGCCATTTTCTGACGCTTTTTCAAAGAAGATTTTAGTTTTTGCCAAGCTTGAGATGTAAGAAAATGTTTTTAATATTTCAATAACAACTTTTTTGTTTGTGAACGACGAGGGGAGTTCTTTTGGTTCAATATGAAGGTCTTGCACATCTGCAGGTGTTGTAGACGTGATATCTTTTTAATAAGCGTCCAAGTAATACTAAAATAAAGAAATGTTTATTCAATTTTAAAGCAATTACGTTCTCTTAACCCCTCCCCTACAATAAAATCTTGAGAAAGAGAGAAAGCGAAAATCAAAAGGCATTGTTTTCCAAGTTTTGTGTGTATACTTTGGGATAAACCAACGTTTGCACAGTTATTAGATCCAATTAAACGTGATAAAAGAACAAATTTATAAAAAGAAATTTCATACTCACTCGATATTGTGGTTTTTTAGTAATAAAAGTTGTTTAACTATATTGGAATTAACTATGGGTTTAATTGTAAAAACAATTGGGATTAATTGTAAAAACAGCAAACTTAAGATTATAAGGAAAGTTTTCTTGGTTGTTTTAATGTTTTCAGTCTCAAAAACGTTATCTTATTTTATAACCATTTTATTTTTGCTCCTTATTTAACGTTACCAGATAAAAATTACAATTCATATTTTACAATTTCGCAATAAAATTACTAACGATAAGTTATAGTATATATAGTATATATATAGTAATGATTTAGAACTCTGGCAATTCCTTCCGTAGCGTCCAAAACTTTGGTCGTATTAATAAGAAAATTTGTTATTAGTACGGCATGCCGTATTCGAAGTCACTTCGATATATATACATATATATATATATATATATATATATATATATATATATATATATATATATATATATATATATATATATATATATATATATATATATATATATATATATATATATATATATATATATATATATATATATATATATATATATATATATATATATATATATATATATATATATATATATATATATATATATATATATATATATATATATATGTTTAGTAATTTTAGTAAAGTACAACCAAATATAAAACAAGGTACAAATAATTATATATATATATAAAAAAAAAATTCTAGAAGGAACCTCTGAGTTGCGTGTACTCACAGAGCTCAGCTAATAGTTCATGCAGCATTTGTAAATTTGTGATTATATGAAAAACTAATTTATAATAGTTTATTTTAAAAAGATATTCAGCTGCCTACCATGCAGTTGTGTTATTAACCTCCTAGCACACAGCATTGGGTAGTTAAGAACTAAAAGGTACATAAATTGTATAAAATACAATATTAAACAATTAATTTATGGTAACTAAAATTAAAAGTAAATACATATAATGCTAGCTTCTAGTGCGTTTTTTACTTATGTTAAATAAACTAATTTGTAATTATTTTACTAAAAATTTATATCTTATTTAATTTTCCTTATTTAATTAATTAATTTTTATAAAAAGAAAGATATTATACAAACTAATTATTAAGAGTATATTTTGTTAAACAAAATATTATATATATTTTAGAAATTTACGTAAATATGTAATATTGCGTTTCTTTTTAAAATATTTGCTTTTCGATTTAAAATCGAAAATTATATTTGTATTTGAGGCTTGTACATTTATTTTCATTTAAAAAAGATATAAAAGTTCGTAACCAAATTTTCTCATTGTAATCAACTATATACGCCGCCATCTTGGGAGGTCAAAACTGACTTCAAAAAGTTTGCCGTATACGCTATCCAGTTATATTTTGAGATCAGTGATTAAATCTACCTAACGAAAACTTTACACCATATCTACCCATGCGTTACGCTTGCGCAGAACTGACTGTCTACTTATTTAACGATCTACATATTTAACGCGACACCGGGCTTGAATTAAACTTTTAAAAAAGAAACTGCTGAACTGTATATACTATTGGGACATTGGAGCATATGTATCAGATTGATAATGTATTCACTCACAATAAAAGGGAAAGCGGAATAGTATCGAAAATTAACTGATCGAAAAAATGATTAGTATCGAAAAATAACTGACCGAAACTCATTTTAATGATTAAGATCGAAAATGTGATTTTCAGATTAATATCGAAAAGTTTTTATATCGAAATTCACAAATTTGGAACAATATCGAAAACAATAAAAACGGAATAAGATCGAAAACTCATTTAACTGATTAAGATCGAAAATGTGATTTTCAGATTAATATCGAAAAGTTTTTATATCGAAATTCACAAATGTGGAACAATATCGAAAACAATAAAAAAGGAATAAAATCGAAAACTCATTTTTATGATTAACATCGAAAATAAAATTTTCTTATTAATGTCGAAAACAATAAAATCAGAATAAGATCGAAAACTCATTTTAATGATTAACATCGAAAACGTGATTTTCTGATTAATGTCGAAAACAATAAAAACAGAATAAGATCAAAAACTCATTTTAACGATTAACATTAATAATAAGATTTTCTGGTTAATGTCGAAAACAATAAAAACGGAATAAGATCGAAAATTTTTAATTGTCAAAAATTCTTTTCAATGATTAACATCAAAAATATGATTTTATGATCACACTTTTTTTTTATAAAAAACTAGTACTAGGAGAAAATCTTAAGAAATTTTTAATACTAAGTCACTTTTCAAAAAGAAACTTATTTAAGAGTTCAATGAATATTTCCTAACTTTTCACCCTAATATCGCATCAGCTTAACAAAGTTTGCATTACCTACAATGGAGAACAGCAGTTTAAATGAATAGTTAATTTGCACGCGCAATAAACAGTTTAATTTGCACGTGCAATAAAATTCCGTTCGAATTAAAACTTAAAATTTAAGAAACTTTTAAGAAACTCAATAATCTAAAATGTCGTTAGAGAACTTATCAAAAAATTATAATGAAACTGAAGGAGAAAGAAAAAATTCAAATGTGTTTTGGTCTGGTGATTTTGGATACAATAAAGATAAACTTTATAAAGACAATCTGCATCTTAAGTGTCGTTTTTTTACAAGAATGAATTGCAAAGGCAGAGCTTTTATTCATGAAGATAAACTTCATGTTACAACTGTTCACAGTTGCAGTTCAAGAGAAACAGACTTTGAAGTGCTGCTTGCTAAAAGTACCATGAAGAAAAAAGCAGAAGCAACATCTGAAGACCTGCGCTTATTTTTTCAAAACACTTTGAATGAGTTTCCTGCAGTTATTTTTGAATCTGTTAGTTTTCGTCAAATTATCCCAAGTCTTCAGAAAAGGAGAAGGCTAAATGAGCCTTCAAACCCAAAATCACCTAATGAAGCTGCTGAAGTTCTGAACGACAAAGAGTGCCATTGCTATGGAGACGTTTTCTTGGGATCAGTTGCAGAACAGGATAACGTAGCATTGCTGTTTGGACATATGCTAGTCATCAACAAGGCGAAATCGGCCAAAGTGTGTTTTGTTGATGGAACATTTAGGTATTTATACGTATGCATTTTACTTTTTCAAAAAAATATATGTTCTAGAAGAACATATATTTATCTAGGGGGCTGTCCATTAATTACAATAACAAACTTTTGGCTATTTTTACATTACCCCCTCCCCCATGTCAACAATTTGTTAAATTTCGAGAGACACTTCTTTCCCCTATAAAGTTACGTCAATTTTTGATAACCCTTCTCCCCTAAATAAAGACGCTGCGCTAAAAACCCAGGCAAATTTTTCTTTTTTTGAGTAACGAAATTAAAAAAAAAAAAGCAACATTGTTGATGTCAACTTTACTTAACCTCCTCCCCTCACCCTTAGCAAAAATTTTCAAAAAATTTAGACACCTTCTTCCTTATTATTTTAACGTTATTAATGGACAGCCCGTAGACGAAAAAAGTGATATATTAAAAACGTTAGGTAGAACACTTTTATTTACAGTTGTAAACTATAGTTACATTTATTGTACTTTTAGCATGACACCACGCATGGAGGAAAGTAAGTGGTATCAGCTCTTGATATTTTCTGTTGAGTATTCAGCAGTACTTGAAGATCTAATTCCAGATGAGGGTCAGATGAATTTTGATCCTGATAACCCTCACCTTTGGGGAATATCTGTTCCAGCTGTATGCGCTTTAATGACATCGAAATCCGAGGTTTTATACAAGCTTGTTTTTTCCAAAATAAAAGAAGTTTTAGATTTCTCTCCGGTCACCATTATATCAGATTTTGAACAAGGACTACAGAATGCTTTAAAAACAACTTGGAGTGAAAGCTTGGTGAATGGTTGCAGGTATAAGTTATTACTTTGTTATTACTTAGTTTCCAGTTTCTAAGTTATCCAAGTTTTTCAGAGTTTGTTATCAATTAATGATCTCCTTTAAACCCTTATCTTTAGGTTTCATTTCGAAAATGCAATCACCAAGCAATTAGCAATTCTTGGTCTTCAGAGGGAATACCGCCACCAAATTCAAGTAAAGAAGTGGGCACGAAAAGTTTCAGCACTTTGTCTCCTTCCTGCAAACAAGATCTTGGTTGCTTAGGGATCTCGAGTTATTGAGATTGCACATTTTAGTCGCGAAATCAAAATCAAACTACTTGCTTTTAAAAGGTATTTTGAGAGTTATTGGCTCAATATAGTGACCCTAGAAGGATTCAGTGTTTATGGCTTGAACCACAAAACCAATAACAATGCAGAGAGTCTCAATAGACGTTTGAAATCAAACATGGGTGAGCGACATATTGGAACGAGGTTGGTGAGAGTCTTCCTTTGCCAACTTTTACTTCAACAAAGTCTCGGAAGTGCGTTGTTTGTACCGTCAATGAACGAAATGCATTAGCAATGCCTTGCAGACATTTTTTGTTTTGTCAGCCCTGCATTCAACAAATCCAAAAAAACAACACAGCTCATTGTCCCACTTGCCGAGGACCAATATCATCTATAATTGAACCTTTTCAATGATTCAGTAAAATTTTCCCTATTACCTATATTTTAAAAACTAGAATGTCACACAATTGTTTAAATTTATTTTTAAAAATTTATTATATAAAAGCGGTATAATTTTTTTCCTATTGCTCCGCCTGGAATAAAAAATAATCAATAACGTCATTTTTTAGTTTACATAAATGACATTAAATTCCATTTGGGCCTACAAGATTTTCCGTAAGTTGGCGTATTATATTGGTTTCAGTTGAGCAAACCCCATATTACGTTAAGGATAAGTACTAAATAAATTCCATCTCCCTAGAAACAATAGTCATTTACATGTTAAAGTTATTGCATAGATAAATGTAGCATAAAACTCTACAGCTGCTTGTCTAGCAAAATTAAATAAGTTTCCTTGAAGCAAGTGACAGTATCCACAAAAGACTTATTGTGAGGGTTACTATGTTACAATTAGCACTTTCGTGTGCACAAGCGTGTTAGAAGCAACTTTTTGCTTTTAACTTTTTTTAACTAGGTTTTAACTTGTCTAGCTAGCTTTTAACTTGTTTAACTAGGTTAAAACTAAGAAGAAGAAAACGAGTGCTAAAACATTTTGGGCCGGGATCATAACTTGTTACAGTCAGCAAAAAAATATATAGAAATTAAACAAAAAACTATATAATTGGAATAAGCTCGTCAAAAAGTATGTGAAAACCATATGCTGAAAATATTTCCTTTCCAAGATATAACACCTTATAGATTATATAAAACACAAACCCAGATTTTACAGGCCAGCACAAAACAGCCATAAAAAAGGATTTTTCATCCTTAATTTGCTTTATAATAAATATGCATTTTGTTTAAAGAGTTGCTATTGATATAAATTTTCTATTAAAAGCTAGTTTCTGCTAAATTTATCACGTCCTTACTGTTGGTAGGGGTGGGGAAAGGGAGGAGATAATCGTGAGCGATTGACATCTTTTGTTTGACCAAATGCTCTTAGTTTCACGTTATAAAAATTAATTAAGATTTTCTATTCTTGACCACAATTTTCTCCGAAACGATCAACCTAACCTCAAAATCTTTACGATATGGGCTTGTATATTTATAGAAGGTTATTGATTGAACTTTTTATAAAAAGTACATAAAATAAATTGTTAGAAGATTAGTAAATTTACTAATCTTCGTATATTTTATTCACTAATATATTTTGATAATTTTTTTTTTATAAAGTAAGTGTTTAATAGTTCTTTTTGGAGTTTTATGTTTTGCTTACATAAACTTCATATATTTTATTCACTAATATATATACTAATAATTCTTCAAGTTAGTCGAGTTTCCTAAAACGCCTTACAAAATTTCTTATGAATGTAATTTGCGAATAATATATTAACAAGTATAATTGAACATGGGCTACGGCATGGGGGTATATCTACTTTGGCTATGTCATGGGGGGAGGGGTCAAGGTGGCATTTTTCCTCCCCCTCTATCAGAATTTGTAGTCAGGACGATTTTTTTTTATAAAGTAAGTGTTTAATAGTTCTTTTTGGAATTTTATGTTTTGCTTACATAAAATAATTAGTTAACATTCAAGGCAGTGCACAGTGGGCCAGCAGTGAGCAAAAATTAAAAAAATAAGCAAAACCAACCTTTAACAATTCAAAAATTTTTAAACTTTTTTGAAAGTGAGTAACCTGAAGAAAATTTAAATGGTTGTAATATTATGTTTTAGTAAATAGAATTATTGTTAAATTGATTTTATAATGTTAATATTGTTAAATTGATTTTATATGTAGTTATTAATTTTGATCACTTTTTCATGTTTCTGACCCACTGTGCAGTGGGCCTAAAATCATTTTGTTAAAAAATCACTAAAGGGCAAATGTTTTCAAGCATTTAAACTAAAGCGATCTTTTTTATTATTTCTAAAAGATGTCACTAATATTTCTAAAATACAACACGTTATCTATGATAAAAACAACATTGTTGTTGCAAATGATAAATAGCATTATATATAACTGCGTTACTTGGATTTGATTTACAATTTAAGCGAATAAAGAAGCTTGAAAATAAGTGAAGTTTGAACTGTATTTTATGAAGTGCTCAACCACTTTTGTGAAATATTATGTTTATAGTTTTGTCGTTAACATGGATTTGTGAGTTTTATCATACTTCGCTTTAACGCGTTGCAACGCGTAAAATTAAAATATGATAAAATTCGGGTATAATGTGACTCTTCGTTCACATTTCCATGTTAACGACAAAACTATTTGCATGATATTTCATAAAATTGGTGGTGGACTTCATAAAATAGAGTTCAAATTTTACTTATTTAGAGTTTGAGCTATTATTGAATTTTTCAGAATTTTTTTTTTTGCTCATTGTTATAAGTTTAACGTCATGGCCCCCGGTCCTAAATGAGAAAAATGTTTCTTCTTAGATTTTTACATATATTCTTGATATTTATAAATGTAAATGAATCTTTACTCTGACAGTTTGAAAAAGATCTTTTTCTTTAACTTGAGTTAATTTTTGTAGTTTTAACAGAGTTTTTTTTACTCTTGGCCCAATTTGCCCCAAAATGGGAAAACGGGCTTTGTGTATTTTTACATTTTTACCTTATTGTCCTGATTGGGCGATTGGGCCAAGAACAATCAAAGTTCTGTAGAAGAAATTAGACCTAATATTTTTACCTATTTTTTTGTTATTTATAAATGTTAATGAGTTTGTTTACCCTGACCGTTTGAAAAAACTCTATTTCTTTATCTAAAGTTAATTTTTACGGTTTAAACGAAGCTTTCATAGCTTTTGATCCAATTGCCCCAAATGGGTAAACGAGGAGTGGAATTCTTACCTAGGGGCCCCTAATATGAGAATGATAATTTGTAGAATTGAATGCTTTAGTAAAAAAGAAAACAATAAAAATAATTCAGCATAAGTACTTCAATGAAATTCCTTCTCGATAGCATATGAAAAATAAGTTTATTATCAAAATTTAGTGCCATAATTCCTTAAGAAAAACTCAACAAATCTTGACGCGAAATAGGCGTTATTGAGCCCAGCATAGATTGTCATAACTTGGGAACCAGTTATCCAAATTTAAAAAATGAACACATTCTGAAAGCTTCTTCATTATCCGCATATAATGGTATTAATTATAACAAGAGATAATTGTAATAGTTAAATCGTGTGAAGTGCCTACTGTAAATAAAATCAATACATTTTGTTTTGAATCGTTTTATAAATAGCCAACAACACAACATTCAATATTTTTTGTTCTACTAATAGAGCTTTTTGTTTATATTATACAATTATACAGTGTAATTACTACACTTTAATTAAAAACCGCAAAAACCCGCAAAAAACTGCCGTCTATTTATTCTGCTTTTGGAATTTTCAAACCTATTATTAAAATTCACCTTTTCGGAAAGTCTTTTTTCGATTTTATTCCTTTTTTCACAGTTTCGATATAATTCCGGAAAGTCCCGTTTCGATATTGTTCCTTTTTTTACAGTTTCGTTTTTTGAAATTTCGATACTATTCCTTTATTCACACTTCCGATATTGTTCCGGTAAGTCTTTTTTCAATATTATTCTCTTTTGAGCTGTTTCGAGATTATTCTGCTTTTAGGATTTTCGATACTAATCCTTTTTTAACAAATTTGAAATGTTTTCTTTTTCGATATTATTCCGAAAAATCCCTTTTCGATATTATTCCTTTTTTCACAATTTCGAGGTTATTCTATTTTTCGGATTTTCTATACAATTCCTTTTTTTACCATTTCGATGTTATTCTCTATTTCGATGTTATTCTGGAAATTCCGTTTTCGAGATTAATCAGTTTGGCTGTTTTCGATACTGTTACTGCTACCCCAATAAAAGATGAAAATACCAACAAATGAAACAAATAAAAGAAAAATAAACAAAAGTAGAAGTAATTAATATTTTAAATACACTTTTTTCTTCAATGCTATATTAAAAACACTTATATTAAATACTAATTCTCAATGTTTATTACTGTACACTGACAAATTTACAACGCATAGTTGTTTTATCATTTGATTAATTTTTAACTTATTTTCCAAGAATTGGGCGCTGACATTTTGGCAAATATAGGTAAAGTGCATGTAAGCCCTTGTACAGTCTATTAACAGAAAAAGTTTTCTTTTTGTGATCATAAGAGACAAGCAAATTCTTAACATAGCCTAGATATTTGCAAATGTTTTTGTTAAACTATTCTTACCTAGAAAGGTGCACATTTTACAGTTCGGCACAATCAGTTTCGTTTGGCTGTTACAATTTCGCTAATAGAGAAATCAAGTGAAAAAAATGTATGATGACAGTTAGCTTCAACATCTTTAAAATATTTTTCACATACAAATGAAACATGATCTCTCATATCATCATTCGACAATTTATAAATTGTATAAACATTTTAAACGGTTTATAATATTATTAAATTATAGATCTAGTATCAGTTCTGTAGTGTAGTGGTTATCACGTTCGCTTTACACGCGAAAGGTCCCCGGTTCAAGCCCGGGCAGAACTAGCGTTTTAAT